CCTATGCATGAAAAGGTGTATTTCACATTATAAAATTTAAAATTAGTGGTATTTTGTTGTGATATGAAGCATTTGGGTGGGATAAATGTAAAAATGTAGAGTTTAGGTGTCAGATATTTAAATTCTCCTTTTTGTTTTCCAGTGGGAAAATCTTTCTTTTTTTATTTGCTTATTTTAATGTAGCGTGCCTTTATATTCTATGATTTTGTGTTTATTGTATTTCAATTTGTTCATGTGTGCATTTGATAATCTCTTCGTTTAGGGTTTAGAAAATTCTCAATGGTAGGAGAATCTTAAGACTTTGCTTGGTATAAATTTTCACCACACGCATAGATAGAAAATGCACGAGACAATTAGATTTTAAGTGGAAAAGCCCTGAAAAGTGAAAAGGGCATGAGGGACTTACAGTAATCAGCACCCCCCTTCAAGGTGATGATTGATAGGAGAGATCGTCGTTTAATCAATTGGAAGCGCTTTGGTAAGTACATCTGCAAGTTGATCTTTAGACATTAGTTGTTGTAAGTCGATGTGCTTGAGTCGAAGATGATCTTTGATAAGTGATAATTCAATTCTATGTACTTAATGCGAGCGCAAAAAATCGGATTGTGTTCCAAGGCTATGGCGGAGGTGTTGTAATGGTAAGCTCTTGTAATTGTCTTTGTGTCCAAAGAATTTCTATAGTAGCAGCGGCTAGGGCTTTGTATTTTGCTTCTGTGGAGGATCGAGCCACCATGAATTGTTTCTTTGCAGACCATGATATGAGGTTTTGTCCTATGAAAATACAAAAAACTAGAGATTTATCTCCTATATTTGGTGTAGCTAGCTTAGTCGGCATCTGCATGAGTTGTTAAGGACATACGACCAGAAATAATAGGAAGCCCGTGAAGAGGATTTCCTTTTAAATAACATAAAAGTCTTTTTTATTTTTAATAGTGAAGCAAGGTGCATTGATGCATATGCTGACTTAAATAGTTTGTAGTAAATGATATGTCTAAACGAGTAACAATTAGGTATTGGTGAGATCCAATGGTTTTCTTATACTGTTTCGGATCCAACATAAGTTTTGAAGGAGTGGTTTCATTGCGATGAGTAGTGGGTAGGGGAGTGAGAACAATTTTGGCTTGTGGCATGCTAGTTTTATGTAAAATACCTTGTAGGTAGTGTTCTTGTTCTAAAAAGTAGTCATGTGGTGTTTTGTGAATGTGGAGCCCAAGAAAGTGTGAGATTGGCCCGAGGTTTTTGAGGTTGAATTTGGTGTTGAGAGTGTGAATTAAAGTGGTAATGGCGACTGTGGGTTTACCTGTGATTCAAATATTATCTACGTAAACAAGTAAATGCGTGAATTATGATGATTATAGATTAAAAGCTAAGGATCAACGGTACTTAAAAGAAATTTGCGTGCATATAAAATTTGACAAAAAGTGAAATACCACTGACGTGGTGCTTGCTTTATGCCATAAAGAGCTTTTGAAGCTTACACATGTTGAGAATAGTTGGAGTCCATAAAAACAGTTTGTTGAGTCATAAATATAGTTTAATCATTTTTACCATGCAAAAAAACATTTGAAATATCCAGTTGCATAATTTTCCAATGATTTTGAGTAGCTAAAGCAATGAGAATTATCATGGGAAATTTTGTGACCAGACTGAAAGTTTCAGTATAGTCTATGCCTTGCTTTTGCTTGAATCCTTGTGCGACTAATCTTGTTTTGTGGTGTGAAATTGTACCATCAACATTGTATTTATTTTAGATGTCCACTTACATCCTATTATGTTTTAATTTTTAGGAGAAGGAACAAGAATCCAGGTGCTTGGTAGGCAGAAGAAATGAGGGATGTGAAATGGTATGTGTGGAAGAGGGTGGGATGGTGGCTAAGGAAGAGGGAGTGGAGATTTTGAGATTTATTTTCCTGAATATCTAAGCATTTGTAACCTTTATGGTGTGGATTGTATCCCAAAAAGATACATTTGAGGGCTGTGAAGAGAATTTGTGGGCAATGTTCAAAGGTTGCCAGGGAAAACAGAGATACCCAAAGGTTTTGAATGACTGATATTGAGGAATAATTTTGTAAAGTAATTGAAAAGGAGATTTGTATTTGATAGCTACAGATGGAAGGCAATTTATTAAATAATTGACAGTTTGAATTGCATCCATCCAAAATGAAATGAGAAGATTAGCAAAATTGAGAAGAGTGAGGGCTCTTTCAAGTAAGTGTCTTATGTTTATGTTCAGCCAGACCATTTTGTTCTGGCATGTAAGGGCAACTGTATTGGTGTATAATACCATGTCATTTAAGTAAGTATTAAGATGTTGGGATGTATATTCCCCACCCTGATCAGTGCGTAAAAATTTTATATTTGTGTGAACGTGATTTTTATTATTTTGTGTAGGTTGATAAAGTGATGTGTTATGTCAGATTTTTGCTTGAGAGGAATGCACCAACAAAACCTTGAGTAAGAATAGATAAAAGTAACATAATAATGATATCCTTCTATTCAAGGATGGGGAAAAGGACCCCAGATGTTGGAATGCAACAATTCAAACTGATTATATTGCATAGAACTCTTTAAAAAGGGTAATTTGTGGCTTCAAGAGAAATTTTAAGTTGTGGGAATGCATGAGAAAGCTTAGAAAGAATTTATTGTGTAAATCTCTCAATCTGTGGTGCCATATGTTGGATGTGGTGACGGTTGTGATCGGCTGAAAGCCTCGATCAGCAGTTTCAGAGTAGAGAATTTTCTTGGTTGTCAGGTCTTGAATGTAAAATTTGTTAGCACAAAAAATAACTTGGCAATTATTGTATTTAGTGAGCTTATTAACAGAGATTAAATTATGAGAAAGTTGTGGTGCTCGAAACAAAGGGGGGTGTTTAAGCTTACAATGAGGTGTTGGAAGTAAACCATTTCCAACATGTGTAATTTTAGTGCTTTGGCTATTACCACCTGGTCTGAGCCAGTGTATTGAGTGTGCTATTGTAGATTTTCGAGATGCAGAGTTAGCTGAGTTGTTGCTCCAGTATCTAATGCCTAGTTGGGTTGTTGAGATTGCAGATGACTGGTGACTGCAATGGGCATGGTATTGGCCTTATACTAAAGATTGGTTCTATGTCAACAGTTGTTTGCAGAGTGGCTCCGTTTGTTGCAGATCTAACATATTACTGGTTGTTTCGGTTTTACCTAATTGTTGTTTGGTTGCTTTGACTGGTTGGTGGAATTCTTGTGAAGGTTTATGTTATGCTGAAATTCACCCTTGTTTTTATGAGATATTAGAGCGGTATTTTGTATGTTATTGGTTGATTCATTGGCTAAGTTGCATTCTTCACTTTGCAGGGGAGCATAAAAGTCTTCAAGACTTGAAGGATGCAATTTAGTACAAATTGCAATTTTAAATCATTGATAAGATGGTGGCGGCTAGTTAACGTGCTCTTTGTCAGCCGATAATATGATTTACCAAATTCTTGATAGTGCTGAGATATTGATTCGTTGTGTTGGCCCCCATAGTTATGCTGTGTAACCCTTTCTTGAGTTGGATTGCGCGAGAACGGTTGGTAGCTTGGAATTGTTTTGCAAGATTGTTCCAACTTTCAGCTGTGGTGGTGAGATGAATGATATAAGGATGGAAGAAGAAATGGTAGAGAATCTTGCTGCAAAGAAGTTTCGATCGACATGATGCCAGAGAAGGTAATCTTGATTTTTGATGAAATTGCCGGATTCATCCGAATTTTCCATAACAGGTAGTTTTCTCAAGTTAGTGGGTTGGCAACCACATTCTTGATATGTGACATCAGAAATTTTAGGGAGTTTGGTATGCTTATTTCCTTTATCTTTTGAAAGGAGGCATTGATTTGTGGAGTGCCTTGAATTGATGTCGGCTTGTTGGATTCCATCGGCAGTGAAGAGAAGAGCTCTGATACCATAAAAAATACTTATACAGAAATATAAAAGAAGAAGAAAAAGAAGGAGAGGAAGATAGATTTGAAGCCTGAAGAAAGAAAAGATCTATGTCTTTACTACATTGATTTTAGTCTCATCTCTTGCATATATATTGAAAGAATAGTTACATTATAAACCATTCATGTGGCATAGTTGTAGTTGTGCTTAAAGGATATATGAATCAATTAACATTTAATATACATTTATATTAGTTGATATAAAATGTATCTTTCCATTGTAGAAGCCCTAGCGGCCACGAATGGAAACGCGAGCACTTGAGAGGCGAACCAGAAGAAGTAGAGGCGTAGCTGACCAAGGATGAAGCAAGATGTTGTTTAACCAATCACTGGTGGTGATTGACAATTGTTGGTAGGTGTTCACATGCACTTCTCTTCACGAGTTATTCTTTAATTGTCAGCTCGGTCTTCTCTTCGCTTCTCCCACTTTGTAAAGAATGAGGGTTTATTTATAGTTTTTAAGTGGGGCATTTTAATAATTTAATCAAAATCTCAAAGCACTTCACCGGACGATTTATATTGATTTATTTGTTTTTTTTTTATTTGTTCAATATTTAAGTATCCTAATGATCTAAAAATTAAGTGATTTTGGACTCGGATTCCTCTCATCGAGCAGCTCGATTTAATTATTATGTTTAGAGATTATTTGGCCTCCCAAATAAACCAAAGCTTTTGATTACACTTCATGCTTGATTTGAGCCAATTTAAACTCGGATTAGATCACTCTCAGTGTCACTAGGCTTGTATTATTAAGATTTTCAATTAAACTATAATTTTTTTTGAAACCAGAGCTAAAATGATTTTGAATTCTAACTTGTATGATGACTTACCCAAAATGCATCGTGATTTGTGATGATCATATAAATTCATCGGTGACATAACTTTTCTTGTGTTGGATGCTATCTAATACGGTTATTAATATTTGATAGAGATAGAGATTTAATTTAAAAATTCAATATTATATATGCAAGGATAAGGTTGAAGGCTATTTTAGCCATTTCCCCTCCATTGCTCGTTGCCTTGTGAAATACTTAGGTTCCAAATTTATATTGGCTTATGGAGTCTAAATAATTATGTGTTGTGTAATGCTACCTCATATACATTCTACACTATGTTCCATCATCGATACTAACTCATAGATTTAGATCCTAAACTGCCAGTTCTGTTTGCAGATAATTCGAAATCACTCAATTTAGAAATTTATTTATGGAATATTTTTTAATATTTGTGATTTTTCATTCCATTACTTGATGCGCAAAATTTCTTATTCATGCCAGCAGGATCTGTTGAAAAACTTTTGCAGAATAACATCTAAGAAGTTGCTAGCTTATTCTGCATATCGTATGCACTTTCATTGGATAGTACGGCCATGCCAATAAATACTTGGTATGTGTTTTCTCCTTTATCTTCTTTCCATGCATATCATTTATTTGACTTTGATTCACATCTTGTGTTCAACTCCATTCTATTACACACAAAGCAGTTTCACCTCACACATATTAGGATGAATGAAAAAGGATTTATAAAACCCTATCTTCATTTAAAACTTAATCACTCCTATTTTGTTTGTCCATCTTTGTTTCTTGTTCTTTGTAAATTGTTTATGGCTGCTTGGTATAGATCCCCACTTTCTTTGTTGGCATTCGAAACTAGATGAACAATGCAAATTTTGAATTGATTGACTCTTAACAATTACATGATATGTAGCCCTGAGTTATTTCTGAAAGGGGAACAATGGACAATTTGTTTTTAATGCGGCAATGTAACAATGCTGAATTCTAGTGGATAAAATTTTTGATGAGATGCAATCATATGAATTCTTTGCCATTATTTCCTCGCCTCATTAGTTGTCATAGCCAATCGATCTCTGCTATATTTATCGTCTCTTATCAATTTATAAGTTTCTTCATTTAGTGTAATGGGATCGGTACATCCAAAGAGATGAAATGATGAATGGCTTACTTTTACATGAGAAGGATATATGACAAACACAAAAGCATAATATTGGAGTTACAAATTTGTTGTTACTGTCAACGCTAATCGTTTATTGACATGTTTCATCAAGGACATCAGCATCTAATTAGGGAGCATAATTTTGAGTATGATTTAGATCTGTCTGAGAGAATGATTGGAAGGAATATTACTTGAAGGTTTGTTATGCAGTTTAGGTCAAGATACAAGTTACTTATTTTTCTCCATATTGTAGAAGAATTAGGTCTTGATGATCATATTTTGCCAGGCCAGTCTCTATTGTAGTTATGGGGGCTCTCGCCTGGTCTTGGAGCCGCTGTAAAGCCTAAATGCAGAAGAGAAAGGTGAAGAAAGTTAAAATGCAGGCAACCACGTTAGGGTTGAGGATATCACCTATGTTTGCTTCATTCATTGCATTGTTAATGATAATTATCATATACAACAACAACAAAGCCTTAATCCCACTACGTGGGGTCGGCTACATGAATCTTTTTTCTCCATTGCATCCTATGTAGTGTCATATTTAATGATAATTATCATATATAAAAAAAAAGATAAACATTAATGCGTTAATATGAACTTTAATAATAAGTGTTGTTAATATGAATTTTATGAAAATGGAGAGGAATATAATCACTAATGTGAGAAGTTGATTTTAGTGAGTAATCACATGCAGTCGTACCTCACATCACCGAGCTTAAGGGTTGTTTGTGGCAGCTGTAGTTGTTTGAAGAAGTATCGATGAAATTGTTACAAAAGAAATTGTTATTCAAGAGCTTGTGGTGGCTATTATATATATATATTTTTCAAAAGGTTAGACTGCGGTTTTTTGTCAGTCATCTCATTTTGTCAGGTCAAGTTGTAAAATACAATTTTCCATTACTTCAAAAAGCTGGCAAAAACCCATTTTTCCACAACGGTGCAGTCAAAACCACACTTTGAGAATCACAGGCTGAACTCATTGCATTTAGTGCATTCGCAAAGAATAGGAATTTCATATCTAGGCAATATAACTATTACAGATTCACTACTAATAAGCTTTTGATTGTATAACTAAATTTATGTGGTGAGCATTAAGGTGGTGACATTTATGCAATATAAATGCTATGCTTACAAAATACTGTGAGATCCCAACAAAAATGGGTTTAGAGGGAGCCCCAAGGTTTTACCTTCACATCTTGCCCTTTGAAGCCAAATAAATGAAGATTTTAATGGTCTATTTGCGGCAGTCGCAGTTGTTTGAAAAATCATTTGTGAAACTGCTGAAAAAGATGTTCAAAAAGCTACAATCTATTATAATTTTTTTTTTTCGTAAAAAAGAAACCATTGCTTTTTAGCAACCACCACAGGTAACCATGAATAGTGGGAAAACACAGCCTTTAGCTATAGCTTTTTGAGATCGCATACAAAACATTTTTTTGCTAAATAGAATAAATATTGTGACACCACACTGCAACTGTACCGCCGCCTTAAACAACCCTAAATAGCTTGTCTTCAGCACATTACTCGGGTCCAAAATATTTGAGTTTCATTGAAGATGAGATGAATTGAATATCATCACAATGTAACATCAATCGTAAGATTTCAATGTTTCTCACCATTTTTTAACTATATTTGAAAAATTATAATTTTTTTTTATCTATTTAAGCTTAGGTAGCAGCTATAAATCGTTATTTGATATTTAAAGAATTATCAACAAAAGAGTCGTCATAATCAATAACTTTTTCATCAAAATGAAATTTTTTAAAATCATTATTTAAAAAAAAATTTATTTCACATTGCTTGCAATATAGTGTTTGAGAGTATTGTTATGAGAAATAATTACACTTGACTTCTATCAGAAACATCTCTTTTAATTTTGCCAAAGAACACTACAATTATATATATATATCTATATCTATATATATATATATATATATATATATTCTTGCAAATCATCATCAAAGTTTGTCTTATAAAATAGTATGAAGCTATATTTGGCACAGTTCTTATTAACTCTTCAAATTTGGGGTGATTTAAAAAATTAATTCATCTTTGAATGAAAATTGTTATGAGAAACATATACTTATAGATCTTGCAAAGATAAAATATTAAATTTGGAAGACATTTGCTCCCATTTTTTTTTTTTTTTGCTAATATATAGAATCATTTTTTATATATAATTGGCATAACATTTAATGACAATTTACTTTCTTGCAAAGATAAAATATTAAATTTTGAAGACATTTGCTCCCATAATTTTTTTTTTTTGCTAATATATAGAATCATTTTTGATATATAATTGGCATAACATTTAATGACAATTTACTACTTTTGTGAGAAATTTCCTCACATTGAACTCATTAGTATATCATCTGTTATAACACAAACACCAAAGTATTATTAGATCAATCAAACCTAAATGTTTGGGATGTAGCAGCTAGACAAAGAACAAACATTATGTTGATTGACTCGTATTATCAAATGAATATACTATTGAGAGAAGAACCTTTAAACGCATATTAATTTTGTTAAACTCTCTATTTGATGGTCTAAAGGCTTCTGTTATCTGGAGCTCCACAAAGCAACATTGCTACATCTGCACAAAGTTGAAGTAAAATGATGAATTGACTATCCTTCGTACATCGCAGAAAAAAAAATTTTAGGAAGATTTACATACATACAAGTCAATTCTTATGTATTTACATATCTGACACCTAAACTTCAATTTTTACATATAGACCACCTTGCCTATGCACTAAAAGTTGCAGTTCACTTTTGAAAAGTTAACATAGTGACATATTTGATGTGATGTGAATGATTTGCGTGGCATAAAAATTGGGTGGTATGTATGCAATAAAGTAAATGCCCGATAAATGTATTAATGCTCTACAATCCTATAATTGAGACTTACATTGCTGGTTCTTGCTTTTAGCTTATGCACTTCTTCCTGTGAGCATGCAAGCCTGCACTTAAGAAGAGTAAATACTACTAAGTCTACTAAGTTGATACATTTCCCATATTTTTAAAATAAATCATCAATTGATATTGTAGTGTATGGCTTTATTTCAATTAATTAGTGGTCACCTCCAATGTAGCTCACTGATTTCCTGTAGCAGTTCTTTCTCTCTTTCATGCGCAGTCTCCAACTACAAGACATGAAAACGTGTTAAAGATTGAACGCGGGTAAGAAAACAATTTGTACAGATGGTCGTTAATGTTACCAGCCTGGTCATAAAGCTATTGAGTTTCGGATTGAAATTCCTTTTCATTGTTTATAGTTTTGATAACAAAAATAATGTGTTTTAATTGGGTATTATACATAGAATCTATGAAAAAAATAAAAAAAGTCATATGGTTCATCTCATACGCAACAACAATACCACCAAACATTTATCCTATCAAGTGGGGTCGGATACATGAATCTTTTTTCTCCATTGTGTCCTATTGAGTTTCATCTTTTCATTTAGTTCTAATAAATTAAGATCCTTTTTATAAAACATATCGAAGCATTTTAGGTCTACCTCTACCTTTTTTAACACGAATTGAATCCAAAATATCTACTCTGCTAACCGGATCATCAGGTGGTCGACATTTAATACGATCAAATCATCGACGACTCTCTCTAATCTTGTCTGTCTCTGGAGCTACACCAACCCTTTCTTGGATACATTCATTTCGCATTTTGAAGGCCAACCTTTAACCGGGTTTATGAATCCACCTAAGCATCCTCATCTAAAGCCAGTCATCTAAGGCCAACCTTTTCACAGGAGCTACACCAACTTTCTCTAATCTAAAGTCACTCATCTACCTAACCATTCTCATCTCAGCAACCCTTTAACTTGTTTTATGCTTCTCTTTTAAAGGCCAACTATACGCCATAAAACATTGCAGGTCTCACTATCTCATATAGAAAAACAAATTATATGATTGTGAAATCAGCTACTTAATAAATTTACTTCATTCATCATCATTAGCATTCTCCCAACTATGTGGGACCAGTTTTATGAATCCTCATTTTTTATTTATTCTCTTGATAAACCGGCACCAATATGGAATATTTGTTTGTTTATGGTTGTACCAAGTTGGAAAGTAGAGAAAAAACGACTAACAGATTATCAATAGAGATTTGAAACTAAACTTACCAACGATTTGTCAGATGTTGTAGTAGGTGAAAGTGACGATACTCCATCAACTAGCCGGTTAGCTGTAACAGAAAATAATTTATTAAATATTCAAATTGAAAAAAGATGTAAAAAAATATGCTACCTGATGTATCTCCAGTACTCAACTGCTTCATCATACTAAGAATGTGATCCTGCTTATAAATGATATGTTTACAAAATCCAGAGAGGAACATCAAGTAAATTAATAATATTGCATTAATCATACCCTCTGAACAATATTGCTCTGCAATACAAACTGCAACTGTTGAATGAATGAGCTTGCGTAGCTTGGAGTTGAATCAGCTGATGGTGAAAGATTCGGCGATTGAAGCTGAGAAATCACCTGCACATCCGCAACTTCACGTGAATTCTTAATCCAGAAGTAAAAAAAATGGAGCAAGTCAAACAACAATAAGAACTAGTATCAGTTGACAGTTCATACAGAGAGTTGTCAAATTAGAAAACACTCATTATGTATGTGCACTTGAGCAAATCAGTCGAGTGGATGAGGTGACTTCAATGAAGTAATGACACGAAGCAAGATAATCAGTCTACTGTTTGGAATAGTTAATGTAATTCAAATCACGGCAGCGAACAAAACAAACAGAAAATTAATGCATAAACCACAGTAGAAAAAAAATTCAATGGTTCACCTATCTGATGGCTTTATCGCTTCAAATTTGATTATAACTTTAATTATGGACTTTCACAGGCCTATTCTCTTCAATATCACCTTAAGATGACAACCCCCTTCGTTAATTTTCTTAAAAAAACATATATAACTATTTCTTAATAAGATGGCAAGCAGCAAGCACGCTTTAAGCAACTCTATCCAACTCAAGAGTACATGGTAAGATTGAAAGCCCCGTTGAAACATATATACTGTTTTGGGGCCAATAAACTCCCATAAAATAACATTCAACAACTGTTTTGGAGAATTGCATGCAGAGCAATGCATCCCACAATAGGGTCAATATAGTCACCCGACCCTTTGCAAAAGGACATTTATTCCTAAGTCTATAGAAGTGCAATTTAATCCCGACAATCTTTTAATGTAAGCTGAAATATTCCCCAACACTCTTTTAATATAAGCTGAAATATTCCCCAGGCCCAATTTAAAGGGTATATAGGGACAAATTTAACATTTTTATAGTCTTTAGGACTAACATAACTTTTCTGACTTTTCATGCAAACAGCCAGGGGACTATTTTGGTACATTACTTCTTTTGGTTTACTATTAACTTGTTTAGAAACTCAATTGACTAAGTACTTTAACATGGAATCTTATCATATGGAACTCATAACTAGTGAACAATTTTAGGAAATATGGACATAGAATATGCACAAACAAATGCTATTAACATTGAACAGGGAAATAATAAAAATATTGTAGCTTAGACCAATTATCACAACAGGGATAGCAAACCTGTACGCTATGACTCTTTTGTAGGCCAATGGCAGAAGGCTGCAGACAGCAAAAAAAGGGAAAAAAGAAATCTTAGAATGTAAGTATATGATAATTAGAAAGAGCGTTACCAGAGTGTTACCATGGTAAACATCATACCTTATCAAAATCAATGCTTTCAGAGGTCACCTTGAAGCGCCCTTTTTGTTGAACAATAGGAGTCTTTGTCTTGTCATCAATGTCATCACCGCTTGGAGCTGCAAAGCCAGACTAAAATTAAATATGATAATTGTCATATGAGAAATCACCTGCACATTGCTTGAAAATCGGATCAAATCATTCGATCCGAGCTACGAGCCAAATTAAAGTATCAACTTTATTTTAATCTGATTTTAATCCGTCCTCGGTTCGAATCGGGATCGAAATAAATTATTATGTATTTACATATTTAACACCTAAACATTTAGTTTTACATGCAAGCCCGGTTGGTGAGGGATTTTTATTTGAGCGAAGCGGCAGGGGTTCGAATCCCCTCTTTTCACAAAAAAATGCATTTTTTACTGGTGGGCTAGTCTAGCGGGCCAAGGTGGGTTTGAGCCGGATAGATCTCTCTCACGAGCCAAAAATGACATTCGAGCCGGTTTGTTTACAATTTGAGCTTGGTCGAAAATCGAATTGACCCTCACTGGATCAGATTGAAATTTAGTAGGATCGATCGACGATTCGATTTTGATCCGGTTAAAAAAATTTCGATCCGATTTCGAGCCATTTCGAGCCAACCCTGGATCGACTCGAAATCGGATCGTTCACACCCCTACCTACTAACATGGTTTCATATTTTTTGCAACGGCCAAATGACTGCTGTGTTTGTAATATAGTTCTCCATACCCATTGGTTTGGAGATTTTTGACGCAAGCTCAGAGGGTGATTCATTTGTTGTCTGGGGAACCTCTCCATTCGGATTTATGTTGTTCTGCTGTTGATTTTGTTGCTTCAAGCTGGCACAAAAAAGGTACAAGTCCGTAAAATTAAAAAACAACTAAATGGAAGAATAACAGCCTACACTAGTATAACATCATTCATGTCAGATTTGTTTTTAGATGTTTAGATGCCAACATTTCAAATAAGAATTGGCACAAGGCTTGCACAAATAACTCATACAGAGCTGCCACCTAGTGCACAATTATTACAATTATTGATACTTGCTAAGTGAAGTGTATGTGGCTTTGTGGCAGTCTAAATTGAGGTGCTTGTCACGCCAACTCGATTTCCTTGAACTTTAGTCATTCAAGCAATAATAGGAATTATTGATCACATGGGATTCATCTTTTTAGGATTATCAAGTTTTGACGAACAAAACAGAAGCATCACCAACCAATCTTCACATACTCATGAGAGTCAGGCAGAAAGCTAGGAGTCTAGCCGAAAGCTCGTGCAGGAGATTTAGGATTTGTGATTTTAAAAGCTGGTGCAGGAGATTTAGGATCTATGCTTTTTAACGAAAATTTACAGAGTTAAAAACTCCTAATATTTTAAAAAATTTTAAATGTTTTTTTATTAAAAATTAAAATACGAAGAAAATCAATTAGGATGGCAATGACTCAGTGAAAATCAAAAATTCAAAAGCCAAAAAAAAAAAAAAAACTAACAATGAGTTGAAATCTATTAACTTGGTGAAAATCAGAATATATCCAATTTGAGAAAAAATCAATTACAATCACAAACCAATAAGAAAATTTAGATAAAGTAAAAACATAGATGTGAATAACTTAAAAAAAAAATAAAAAAGTATGACAATTCTAAACTATACGAATTACGTGAAGGTATCAACTTCCCCAATAATTATAAAATCAATAACAGCTCCATAAAACTAGAGTCTCTCTAATATGATCTACTTTCTTTTATGAAACCGAAACTAGTACAATCTCTTTTTTTTTTCTTGAAAAAAAAATAGATTTCCCTTCTACAAGCACCCTAAAAAAACTGCTCAAATTATTTTCGCGATTGACAACCTAGTCCCTCTCACTCCTCGTCTCTTCTCTGGCTTGTGGCAGTGGTATTCCAAACCTCGCCTTCTAAGATTTTTATTATAATGTTAACAAGATATGATCAAGCAAAATAATGCCACAAAGATTTAGCGATTTCCTTTTTGTTCATATGATTGGGAGGCAGTGATTGGTTAATACAAACAAGCATACATAAAACCGTAGGAAAACAGTTGGAAGCTGGTCCGCAGCTAAAACAAACAACTGGCAACATCTTTACATGGCTGTGCCATTTCCTTAAAAACATAGCTACGCCCCCAATGCAAATTCTAGGTATAATAGGCCAAATAATCAATAAAGGAAGCAGAAAAAAGTACCAAGCCATGCTGCTCAAAGAAAATATTATTGAAAATGGATATCCCTGTTATATAAGAAAGACAAGCTTGTTAAGTTTATGAAGCAACCATAATTCCTAAGAAAATGCAGAATACCTTTCTCCTTTGGAAAATGAAGGAACTTCACTGGAGCTATTCCTAAAAATTTTTGGCTCCTCTGAACTAGAAGTAAAACTATTCACATATTTTTCCTCAATTTCTAAAGCGGTTGAAACCTTCTTTTCGCTCCCGCCAAGTGCAGACCGTCCATCTAATCCTTTTTCACAATTTTTAGTGAGATTATCCATCTCATTCCTCTGGAGCTGCATTACAACCTGCTGATCACTTGCCCCCATATTCTTCAACTCATTATCAGATCCATCAGATCGGTTTCTGAAATAAAATAATGTCATGATCAAAACATAAAGCAAGTGACAGATGTTACCGACCGAGAAAACAACTCCGTCTCATCACAGGAAAGAAAAAGTGTAAACAAGCATCATATATGGCAAGAAAGATAAAATACTGCTGAAATTTAGATATAAATATAAACAATTGAAATGACAGAAGGATATAAGTGGCCCAAGAAATATCCAAAGTGAGACTACCAGAAATCACAAATCACGTTGTATGATAAATGAATCAATGGTTGGCTGCTTGCAACTTAAAATATAGAAAACAAGTTACTAGAAAGTGGAAATTGATGCCTACCTCTGAGAAGTTGATGTTTCATCTGGCAGTAAAGGTGAAGAAGATTTGTTTTGGGACCCATCACTTTCCTATTGGATTGGGAATCTGTTAAATATGAATCCAACGTTGCAACAAATGAAAATTGTACAATTTGAAATGACTAAGGGATATACAATGTCATCATGTTCCTTCAATGAACAAATTGTGGAATATGACCTATCTGACATTTTCTCATGTGAACTGTCGCACTCAAAAAAGGAATTTGAGACTCCTTGATCTTTTCCTGCATCCTCATTGCAAGGAATCTAATGGGACATAAATAAAACTGATAAATAAGGTCATATAAATTGAATGACAGGCATAATAAATACAAGTTCTATAAATTTAATGTGGAAGGATATAGGAGAAAGGTGCACCAATGATGCTTGGGCCTTCAAGTCATCGATATCAAAGTTCCACCCACTGATTCCTCTTTTATATTCATTCTGGATAAAGAAATCAATCAGTTCGAGTAACATAGATGAATATCATAAATATTCAATGGCGATCCAAATGATTAATTAGGCAGCCTTCAAACAATGAATAGGTAATGTGAATCAAAGAATCATTCAACTAAAATTAAAGAAGAGTCAGATAAACGGCATAACGATATGAATAAACAGGAGTCAAATGCCTATGATCTATTGCTTAAAGAGCAAGCGAAAGTCTCCGCTAATGCTGGGGAACAATCTTGACATTCTCTAAAACTAGAGATCTAATCTACTGAAGCCTTGGCTTATTGCATTCACATGTTATTAATTTTTGCTTATGCTCCTAATAAAGTTGCTTTGATTCTTTCTGCTGTCATCTTAATCAACTAGTTGTCCATTTGGAACAATAAGAGGTTCCTCATTTATAGGTAATGCCTTTGCCACAAATGAAAATTGTTCTTTATATGTGTAGATTTTCAGCTAGTTTATCAATATTGCAACAATAACCTCAGTAAAAAAAAAACCTTAACGACTTAAGAGAGGTGAAAGAAAGATGCAAAAATACAAACTTGTGAGATCTCCTCTTTCTTTCCATCTGGCATTTTCTTTTGTGCAAGTAAGTCTTCTTCCTTCTCCTGCAATTGTTTTTAATGTTATAGAATCAGATAATGAACTGAACAAAACGATTAATGGAAATGCTAATGTTATGAAAACCAGGAACCAGGAAAAACAAAATTTCCCACCTTTAGAGCTTGGTATCGATCACCAAGTGCAGCCAAGCCTTCCAAAATTTTCCGCGCAATATAATCATTTGATCGAGCTTGCTTGAAGAATGTGTGTTTTAACAATTTATGAGCAGTAGGCCTCTTCGAAGGATCTTTAACCAAGCAGGATGCAATCATATGCTTGAAATTCTATAAGAAATGCATGACTATGAATAACTATAGTTCCAACTAGACTGCGTATTTTGTAGAATACCAATAAATCATACCCTTGAAAATTTCTTGTCCCTTTCATAGTCAAGGCCTGGAGGTGCATTTTGCAAAGTCATCAATAAGACCTGTCCAATGGGAATCAATTAAGAAATTAGCCTACTTAATTTCATCACCAGCATAACTCATTCACATGAGGTTAGAACCATTAAACAGAAAAACGATGTTCTTGACCAAGTTATCTCCAGCCTCAAGCAAATGTGATTTATAGATGAATACACTTTGCACTAAAGATTCGGTAATATAGACCTCTTAAACAATTTAATATGTGAATGCATACATATGATTAGAATACCTTCATTGGAGGGTATTTTGAGAAAGGAGCATGTCCATGAGCAAGTTCCAAAGCAGTTATCCCAAAAGACCATATGTCTGCCCTGAATATCAGATGTCAAAGGCAAATATGTAAAACATCCTTTAACATAACTGAAGAAGTAATCATCAAAGCAAAAAGTTAATGGACCAACTTGAAATCATAGCCATGCAACTGTTCCATCACCTCAGGTGCCATCCTAGTAACAGAAGAATTTGGCTCAATAACTAAGCATACCAGCTCTTACATATAGTGCATAGTGGCTCTAAAGTTTTGAATGCAAACCAGCAAGGAGTCCCAACAAAAGTATTTCTTGAGCGTTGTCTATCACCTGAATCGAAAAGGCAAGCAGAAACCCCAAAATCTCCAAGTTTAACTCCACCTTTTGCATCAACTAGGATGTTGCCAGCCTAAATAATAGCATCAGAATTACGACTAATCATGATGTAATCAAATAAAAGATATAATAATCTAGTTGCATGTTTCTAGTTGTCTTCCAGCCATGAGAATATGTTCGGTGCTTTCTTGGTATTTGCATTCATAAAACCATAACAACCACGACAGTAAACTACTAGTAGTTAAAGCATCGAAAACACAAAATAGTTGGCTCAATTTGTCTATTTTCTTTCTTAATTCAAAAGTAAATTATGAAGGTTTCCTCGAATCAATGTAATTGGATAGTTATAATGGTTTATCAATAGCCCCTTAATAAAATTCTGGTCAGCTGACTGATACTTCATCTCGGAACCACCCATTCATATTGTAAGCAATCAAAGTACTGTATCAACAAGGAAGCCAATCACAATAAATTTGAGCAGATAACTTACTTTCACATCACGGTGGATATGACCATGATGATGAAGATAATCCAAACCCTTCAGCGCTTCCTTCAAAATCGTCGCAATGATCAATTCCTCGAAGCCATTTGGAAATGCTGACTTCATGATATGGAGACAAGAACCCCCTGCCATGTACGGCATAACGACCCACAAGGTGTGAACCTTCACGAAGGAGCAGTGAGCGTTGAGCACGTTGGGATGGTCTATCAAAATCATGGTCTGAGCCTCCCTCGAGATGTTGCTCTGCATCCAATCAAAAACGAAAAGCCTTAATAATCTTCACATTATGAAAAATAAAACACTAAAAAACCGCCATCTAATGTATCGATTCAATTTCTTCAACCGATCGAAGTAGGAGGACCCAACGAAAGAAGAAGATTAAATTTCAAATAGGGAAGAACCAGATCGCTTCCTTGGCGCTCAAAGTCGAGAATCTTGATAGCGACGATCTCGTTCAGAGGGATACAGAGAGCCCGGCGCACGACGGCGCTTGCCCCCTGTCCAATCAACTCGTAGAGCTCGTAGTCCTCCGGGCGGATCGGATACTTCTTCCTCTCCATGGCGGCGACTGCGACCTCCTCAGTGAGAGAAACCCTAGAAGATGAAGAGGAAGAGGAAGAACAAAAGTAGAAGAATAGGGGATATGAATCGGGACAGAAATGGGAGGCATTAATGGAAGGAGCGAGGAGGACGATGCAAAAGCGCCTCTCTCGTGAGGAGAGAGGTGGAGACGAGAGAGTGACCGCAGCTTGCGGGACGACGAGTTGTATGGCGAGAGCTGGCATTTGTATCCAAAAAGCGCGCTATATGGAAAACACAAGACGATCTCTAACCCCTGAGCGCGCGAGCATATATTTATATATAGAAAATGTTTATTGCTGATATTATTTTATGAATTTTTATGATATATATACAGAGCTGCC